CTATGGGTCAGGAATATTCACCTACATTGGGCCGAACTCCAAGACCACTAAAGAGCGGGATAAGATAATATCTGTTTTTTATACAGTGGTGATGCCAATGTTGAACCCCATAATTGATAGCCTGAGAAACAAGGATATCAAAGGGGCTCTCAGGAAACTAACTACAAGAAAGACTTTTTCTCACAGGCAATGAGCTCTGGGTGTCACTTTTCAAGCTATGGTGTGATCCTTAGAAGAGGAGCAGAACTTTGATAAACAGTTGTGAATTAGGCCATTTCAACAACAACAACAAAAAAGCGTGATGCCCTGTCTGGTGTGGGTCAGTGGATTAAGCCCCAGCCTGCAAACAAAAGGGTTGCTGTTTTGATTCCCAGTCATGACATATGCCTGGGTTTTGGGCCAGGTCCCCACAGTGAATGGTGTGCAAGAGGCAACCACACATTGATGTTTCTCTCCCTGTCTTCCTCTTTTCCCCTCTGTCTAAAAATAAATAAATGAAATATTTTTTTAAAAAAACCTTTTTAAAAAAGCATGAAAGTGAAGAACATGTTCTAGAAAGTGTGAATACTGCACTCTAAGGTAGAACATGGGCGGGAGGGCGGGGGATAAAAGGATGAAAAGGTAGATTGTATCCTGAATATGAAAACTGTCATGTTATCTTGAAGGAGTTTGTGGTTAATTCATCAAATATGGACATGTTTTAATCATGGTTACAATGGAATCTAGGAGGTTTAAACTGGACTATCTTGAAATATGAATGCATGCGTGATTCTAATATCAAAGATGCTTTAAGTTTGGATGTCCTGCTCATACAAACCTAGGGACAGGCTCTGACTAAAACAATCAACAAATCTGGAAGAGTTTTTAATACTGGGATCATGTACCATAATGTTTCACTTTGTAAAAAGTACTAGAGTTAATAATATTTGATCATTCATAATGTTCTCTCCTGAAACCTCCAGAAAAAGATTTTTGTAGTATCATACAAATTTCATATAATTATAGAGTATCAGAGTAATAAATAAATTCAATAGTCTTCTAATCCAACTATATATCTGGGGCTTAAACTACTCCATAATATTTTTTATTGAATAAGGGTCTAGCATTTGCTTAAAACAAGAATGATATAGCTCCTTATTCTCTCCGGTTGTTGTTTTCCATACATAGTTTTTCTATTACAAATGTGTTCCTCCTGGTAGATCAAAACCAATTCTCATGTATCTTGAACTCACTTTTTCTAGTTTTATTCCTAGAGCAATTTTTTATTATCCTTCTAGACCACAACTCATTCAAGTCAGTGCCCATATTTTCCCCAAATGAATTCTCACACAACCATTCCCTTTTTCCTTTAAAATTCCTCTGTCTAACATAATTTCGATCCCTACTGTCCAAATTCTGAACCCTCAGAATCCTGAGCAAAATAAACTAATTAACATTTTAAGGCACTGCGTTTTGACAGGGTTTCTGATGCAGCGATGGATAACTGCAGTGCTGGGAGAATCATGCTCCTAATTATTCCATCAGAATAGATACTCCTGGGCCTTTTTCACATGACCAAAGAAAAGCAGTCTGCTTGAAACTACTGCCTCTCAGTCCATGGAGGGAGGGGGGAATAAAGAGCCAGAAAGCTTCTAAAGAAAAAATATTTGGTATACATACCCCCAAATCACAATAAATATCACGTGTCAGTCAGTGCTGTTAGTTGCAAGTAAGAGAATCTGCGTATGCATGATTAAAGCTAAAAGGACAAATAGTGGTGAAATGGTATTTCTGGTTCTATAGCCAGAACCACAGACCAAACCATATCAAGGAACTACTTTTCAACACTAGATGGTGCAAATACCCTGTTTCCAGAGCTGCTCATTTGCTGAACCTGGAAATTAGGATGTTGCTGCTGCTTCTGCTACTGACATAAAAAGAAAAAAAAGAAAAAGAAATTGTCTGATGAAAAACACTACCTTAGTCATATGATCAAGACTAACATCAACAGTGATAAGTCATGTTGATAGTATGTCTCCTTGAGCTGATATGATGGAAAGAGCACTTTCTCTGTGATCTGCCTTCTCCACACTCATAATCTCAACCTAATCATGAGAAAAACATCAGGAAAATTCCAATAGATGAGCTTCTCACAAAATATATGATGAGTACTCCTCAAAACTATAAAGGTCATCAAAAACAAGTCTGAGAATTTGCCACAGCCCAAGGAATGTAAGGAGACATGACAACTAAATGTAACACACTTTCTGGTTGGATCAGAAAAGGATCATTTAAAAAATTAATAATAATACAAAAAGCCCTTAAAAAATCTGAACAGTATGAACTTTAGTTAATAATAAGGTATCAATGTTATTTTTTAAATTATAACAAATGTGCCATAATAATATAAGATAAACTGATGAACAAAATAGAACCAGAGGCATGGGTACATGGAACAGACTGACAGCTGTCAGAGGGGAGCAGGGAGAGAGGACTGGATGAGAGAAGGTGAACAGAGTAGCCAAAGAACATATATGCATGACCCATAGACACAGAAAGAGTGTGGTGATGGCCAGAGAGAAGGAGGGGTAGGGACTGGGTGGACATGGGCAAAGGGGGAAGAAATAGGGGCATCTGAAATAGTGTCAACAATAAAAATAAAGTTAGAAAAATAATAGGGAAAAGTGAGGGCATATATGGGAGTGTGCTGTACAATATCTTCTCAATTTTTCTATAAATCTGAAATTGCTTTAAAATGTCTATTTTTAAAAAGTACAAGAAACTGTTTGCCATCTTTGCTTTTTCATATTACTACCTCCTAATTTAAAGTCTAGACTGGGCCTATCTAATTGAGTTCGACTTACATGCTATGCCCTAGCTGCCATGAAGACAAAGGAATTGGATTTCAGGCAATATTCAAGTTCTATGGAGAGAGGCACACTCTACAATCCCCTCACATTCACAGAAAACAATAAACATAGAATGGGTATTCAATGATCAAAAGCCAAACATTGACAAATGTCCATTACATATAGCCCATGAAACCAAATTATCCCCACTAATGTCTTAACTACTTCAAAATTCCAGACTGACCAGTGCAATTCACAATCTACACAACACAATATTCTCAGGTTGTGTGTAACACAGAGCTTTAAGTGAAGAGATACAATAGTTTAACATAGGGAATCTTCTGTTCAACATTGAGACAGCTCTCATCCAATTGTATTTACTAGTATACTCCCAACTGTTAGGACAGTATCTGCCACATTCATTTCACAATACAAATTTGCTGAATGAGTATACAAGTGGTCTAGGAAAAGTGTTGGCTTAAGTCAGGTCAAGTTTCTCTGTGTGTTTTTTTAACTGCAGAGAGATTAGTGAATGAGAAGTGAACCAATAAATCAGAAGACCTGAATTTCATGGTGATGAAAGGGAATGGAGTTTGAAACAAACAATTCTATGCATCTTAAGGATCTGGTTCTAAGTGGCTTGAGAGACATTTATCTATTTGGTAAGAGTCATGTTTTTTTAGTGCTTCTCTAGGGATTACAATAAACAGCTTTAAGTTTTTTACCCTACAGTTACTGTAACACTGATTTTGAGTTGAAGAGTTTATTTCCTTTAGCATATTAAAGATGATTTTTCACGGTCTTCTGGGCTCTATGATTTCTGATGAGAAAAGTCACCAACATTTAAATCATAATAAACTCTATTGAGTGGAGGGGCAGAGAGATACCTTATAAAGTTGTGCCATCACAATAGCTAGACCTCGTGTGAGGTGACTGCAACCTGAAAAAGACCCTTGTTCCATGACAGCACTGTCTAGGATTCAGGGCATCTTTGAAGATACCTGGTCAGAAACTTCAAGTCTACAAGAGGTATGAAAGGAAAGCTGATAATTCTCTCTCCTACTTAGTGCATTTTCCATGTCCCTGCACTCTTAATTGACTCAAGACAAGGTCTGAGCATGTTTACTGGCAATGCTTTCAAGTTAAATTTTTATTTTGCCTAGTTAGTTAAATATGACTTTTATAAAAGCCAGCCCCATCACAAACAATGCATGGAACACATCATACCCTCAATCTTAGAAAACATCATTCCACTATTCTGTCATCTCTTACCTCTGAATCTTGTAGCATTGAGAGAGCAGCTGTGGGAGAAGTATGATCTGAGCTTGAACCTTACCTGTGCCATCTTTTAGTTTCAATAACTTGGGGGATGACAACCTATACCTTGTAGTAGTGTGGTTATGATTGAGATGATACTTATAATTCACTTATGATGGTAATGGGTACAGAGGAGTTTGCAACAAAATTAATTTCTAGCTCCCCATCTTGGTCAGCTCTTAATCTAGATTTATAACTCCCTCCCTGAGAGCCTTTCCCTGATTGACTACTTTGAGTTCTTCCTCTGAGGCTCAATTCCCTCTTCTTTTACTATTTTCTCTATCTCTTCCTGTCTGTATGCTATCTCACCCCTACTCATGGCATCAATTACCTTCTACCCAGAAATGATACAAATTTTACATGTTTAGCCCCCAACACCTCTATGATCCAGATGCCAGCCATTTGTCTATTAGATAAGGCTTCTTGGATGTCACAACGTATCTCATACGCAATAAGCTAAACCTGAGCTTACCATCTTCTGCAAAATCTTTTACCTTGATACAAAACTGAATGAATGAATCAGTGAATTAATTAATCAGTGAAAACCATGTTATATGCAAGACAGTATTATGTCGAAATTATGGCATTGTTTTTTTGGTTTCAAGCAAATTAGGAGGTGGGGTCTGGCAAGTAGAAGGTAAGAAAGATTTTGCCCAATTTTCCTGGCCGGGATTGGGCTAGCGATGTAAATTTCAGACACCCCTCTTCAGAAACCTAGATTCCATCCCTCTGCTCTAGGCTGGATGGCAGGAAGTAAACTACGAAGCAGGCGTGGCCTACGGAATTGGACGAGACTAGGAACCGCCCACCAAGGCCTACTTTATAGACCTGCTGGGCCGTCGGGGTGATCCTTCTACGCTGGTGCGCGGGGATGCGCGGTGCGCGTGCGGTGGCCTAGCGTTCGCGTTTATGGGCCAGGGTTTCCTGTTTGTGATGTAATTGACAACTGCAGCTACCTTCGGCAGCCGAGACGTTGACTTTCTTGGCTTTTCTCGGAACTGAGGCTCGGGAGTGCCTGAGCAGAGCCAGGCCTGGAAGGCATGTTCGCAGGTATTTGCCGGACGCGGCTGTACAGAATTGGGAGTCCCACTAGGGGGCGTCTACGCGGAACGCACGCGTCTCCTCGGCTAGTTCGCAATTACCGGGATTCCAATACTACACTCCGCGGAGTCGGCGGGAGAAGCTGGGTCGGCGCGAGCTGACTGGGATGGAGGCGAGGGCTGTGCGGGGAAGTTAGTGTGTGAGAGAGCAGCGCTGAGAGGGTTTAAGGAGTGGAGCAGGACAGCTGGGCTCTAGATCCGGTTCTTCTAAACCAGGAATTTCATCTCACTGCTGTCTCTTCCATTCCTTGATGGGGCAGAGTCCGGGGGCTCAACCTGGGGAATATATCTTAGCTGGTTTTAGAATGGCTGGTATTGATTCCTCGCGGAAATACCAGGTGTGACTGGATCAGCCAACTGGGAAAGAAAATGGAGAAAAGTTCATTCCAGCTTGCCTTGCTTTCCCAATTATTCCTAACCACAACCCCCCAAATATTAAAGCCTCCAGGCAACTTTCTTATTTCTGACATTCATTTCCAAACTGTTTTCTACTTCTCTTTTTCTGAGCTAGTCTGAAAGGCTCTCCTTACCTCAGGCTACTGCCTGCCTAAAATCTATTGGATTAAAAACAACATTATCCGCATTCTAAGCGCCTGTTCAAATTCCTTGAAACTGTAAAATTCTTTGAATTTGTGTCGCCTGGTTATTTAATGCAACTCTCCAGATCCCTGTCACCTGCGCTTTACTGTACCCTTCCCCAGGGCGTTTGGCTCACCGTCTTAACTCTTCAGGCGGAGTCCCACCGTCATCCTCAAAGGCGACTATTCAATTTAAATTTAAACAATTCTTGACTTTGTTTATTTCGGTATTCATTGAGTATAGACCATTTAAGCTCCTGGCTGTCATAGCCAAACCTTTGCCCTTCTATCACCTAAACCAGCAATTTTCAACCGGTGTGTCACAAGAATGATTAAAACATAAAATATTTGACTTTAGTCTGGGACACTGACCTCATTTCCCTTAGATTGTCAAGTTAAAAATGACAACAGCCAATACAATAGCCATCTGATGTGAATTAATCAAAATTATACCTATTTTTTGTCAGATTGGCAAAAAATATATTTTTAGTGTGCCACAGAATTTTAATAGTTGATGTGTGCCATGAAATAAAAAGATTGAAAATTCCTGACTTTTACCTGTCCTGAATCCTGAGTGCAAGTATGTCATCCTTACTTGTCCTCCGAGCTCTATAATTATATATACTGAGTAAATTATTAACATATTTGTAACCTATCAAATATGTATAGTATATTTTGTTTTTCCCCACAGAATTGTATGTTTAATTCATCTCATTCTTGTTTTATTATATTGTATATATTTTTGTTTAATTATATATGTAAGGCTTTGACATTGCTTCACAGTAGAGATTGAGCTTGGCTATAGATTATGATGAGCAATGTTTTTAATTTGATTTGTTTTTTAGAAGAAACATTTAAATTTCAAAGTAATTGAAAGTAATTTCTCTGGATAAATTTTGTTTTTCATTTTGTAGAATATGTGGTCTGTATCACTTTATATTATTTTTATTTATTGAGGAGGGTATTTTTCTTTTGTAGCCTAATAAGTAGCTTTTTTGTAAGCATTCTCATCAGTGCCTGAATATAAACTACATTCTATTTGGTTTACATATCAGACTAAGTATTACTTACATGCACTATCTTAGTAAGTAATTTTAGTTTTTTTTCTTTAAGGACTGAGAAAGTTGTTGTAGTCTCGTCCCATTTCTATCGTCATTGTTAATTTTATCTTTTCAGAAGGTTTTGGTATAAATATATTTCAATTACATTTTTGGTACATTTAATAATAGTTATACTTCATTATCAGTTGTACCTTCAATCATTTAAAGTTTCCTCTTTGTCTATTTTAATGCATTTGTGCTTTTAATATATATTTAATTCAATATATTCATGCATATATTTTATTGCTTACATTTGCTTGTTATATTTTTAAGCATCCTTTTATTTTCAACTTTGGAGTTCTTTTGTTTTGGATGTCTCTTGAGTGTTTATCTGGTTGAGTTTAAACTTTTACCCAGTACATTTATTGTTACAATAAATGTTTTTATTATTTGTTTTTAATTTTTTAATTTTTGTGCTTCCTTGTTTTCTTGTTTTGTTTTCAACATATTGCCTGTGAGCTTTTCCCCCTTTTCTCTCTTTGTGTTAATTTTTAAAGTATCTGGGCCAACAGTTCATTGTTTCATTGGGACTCAGTGATACCTCTTTGTCACTTTGAAAATTTTTTTTTAAATTTTTCATACTGTAAACAAAGGTGGGCTACTTGAAGCTTTATGTTTTTTAATGAACCTGGACTTTTCTTAAGCTTTGGAGGTTTGCGTTGGATGTCAGGAGTCAGGAAATAACTTTTGTGCATAAAGGTTTTCACCAATCCTTAAGATCTATTAATAGGCAAACATAAATATTGTATATATTATATGATCATCTCTTGAGTGCTTTTTAGAATGGATATATGATTACAACAAGATACAGCGGAAAACCTTGAGAAATTATATTCTGTTCATTTGCTTCTAGCTCTTTAAAAAAAATAAATAAATAAACCTCATTTCCCCTATTCCCTACCTACTCTCTCTGGTAAACACCACTCTGTGCTCTGAATCTATGAGCTTGGTTTTATTGGCTTTTGTATTGGTTTGGTTGTTGTTTTTAGATTCCAAATATAAGAGAGATCATACAGTATTTATCTTTCTCTGCCTGACCTCACTTAGCATAATGCCCTCAAGGTTTATCCATGTTGTTGCAAGTGGAAAGACTTCATTCTTTTTTATGGCTGAATAATATTCCATTTTGCATATACTACAGTTTCTTTATCTGTTCACTTATTGATGGACACTTAGGTCGTATTCATATCTTGTCTCTTATAAATAGTGCTGCAGTGAACATAGGGATGTGTATATCTTTCTCAGTTAGTGTTTTCTGGTTCTTAGATAAATATCCAGAAGTGGAATTGCTAAATCATATGGTAGCTCTGTTTTTAATTTTTTGAGGAAACTCCATACTCTTTTTCATATGGCTGCATCAGTTTAGACCCCAGGGTCTCTTTTCTTCACCAACACTTGTTATCTCTTGTCTTTTTGGTAATAACCATTTTCACAGGTGTGGGATGATATTTCATTGTGGTTTAGATTTGCATTTCCCTGATGATTAATGATGTTGAGTATCATTTCATTTACCTCTTGTCCATCTGTATGTCTTCTTTGGAAAAACGGCTCTTCAGATCTTCTGTCCATTTTTTAAATTGGATTGTTCATTTGTTTGTTTTGTTATTGAGTTGTATGAGTTTTCTGTATATTTTGGATATTAACCCATTATCAGATATATGATTTGCAAATATATTCACAGATCAGTCACTGTGATACACCACATTAATTAAATGAAAGATAAAAATCATATGATGATCTCAATAGATGCAGAAAAAGAATTTGACAAAATTCAACATCCCCTTATGGTAAAAACTCTCAACAAAGCATGTATTGAATGCTTACTGTCTGCCAAGGAGTGAGATGAGTGTTCTTTTAATCCTTATAATTTAATTAGATAAGTATTGTTATAGCCAGTATTGAGTTGAGAAAACTCAAGCTTTGGTTAAATAACTTGTTCAATTTCATATATACTCTAACTTCAGCTGAGATTTAACTTCATGTCAGGATGAATCCAAAGTATGTGCTCTTAGGCACTATGTATTGCCTATATCAGGGTTTCTTAATCTTATAGTTATTGATATTTTGGGTTAGATATTTTGGGTTGATATTTTGGGTTGATATTTTGGGTTAGTTTTTTGTTATAGAGTGCTGTATATTATAGGGGGTTAGCAGCATTCCTGGTACCCTTCCACTAGGTGCCCGTAATAACTCCCCATTGTGACAACCAAAATGTCTCCAGACATTGCCCTGGTAGCAAAATCACCCCTGAAAACGACTGGCCTTGAGGCATACAATAAAAAAGACCTTTGAATGGTAAGTTATACACAGACTGGGAGTATTGGAAATTGGTTAGAAAGTTGTATCTGAACTTCCCTGAACATAATAACTGTTAAAGTTAGAAAAGCTCTTTAGGGAACCCTGAGTACTGTGCTCAGAGTTGTTAGAAGAGATACTGGCTCCTGGGGGAAGGCTTTTCAATCAATATGCTTTCACACAACCTATGCGGGTCTCTTGACTTGAGCTATACTCTGTGAGGACTCCCACTGGAGAAAAATGCCAGTTACCCTCTGCCAACAAGCTGTTTTCTGCCCAATAGCCTTATGAATAAACTGGTGCCAAATGTGACCCATGGTAGTCCTGCGAATCTGTTTAGTTGGGCCTAAGACTTCCCTTGTGGACATTGCAGACTGGCCCCTTGTGAGTCCTAACAAATGAAAATTTTTAATTATTGTAATTTGGGAATATACCTTTTGATTTAATCCCTAACAATGAAATCGCTCATTTCATTCTTATTTAGTCTTGTATTATTCTTGTGTTTATTCATGTGTTTTTTAAATGATAGTTTCTTACCTTAAATTCTAGGGCTATGCCAATTTTTCTCATTTTATATAACTTTATTGGTATATTATTGGGAACTTAAGAAGAGGTTTTTTTAGGCATCTCTAATAGGAAACCTTAATAGCCTGACTATCCTGCCTGAAAATTTGTTTTACTTAGTTGTAAAGCAAAAATGAATTGTTACCTGGTACAATTGTTACCTGTTTTCTGTAGAAATCTAACTTCAGTTAAATTATGAAGTTTGTTTTAACCAAAGGAATATTTAATTTATCACTTTTTTGTGAGATGTCTAATCACTTTTTTGTGTGATGTCTATCTGTGTTTCTCTGTATTTTGGGGGTGGTTAGGGGGAAGGGACAGCATATTTTCTTGTTCCAAAGATGGAAAATAAGAATTAAAAGGAGAATCCATTATATGGATTATTAAGTAATTTTAAAATAGTATTTGTACTCTTTTATTTTTTAACACTATGTTATTACATGTTCATTATCTATAAGTCATATTTGTGTCTTTTTTCAGTTTCTTAGGTACCTGAATGTCTGCTTTGTATTTGAAACTCCTGGAACTTCTGGAAATTTTATTTTGATATATAACTTGTCTCAAATCACACTGCCTATATATAGTATACAGATGCTTAGCCCAAACCTAAAAATTACTGGATTCATCAGATAAGAAAATCAAACAGTGAGAGTTGTATCTAGGAAGATGCAGACCCTGAATAAGTTGATGGATGTCTTAAAACCTCAAAACCTGACTCTACACGAACAAAGTGAAGTTCTGAGAGAAGATGTGTCTTGGCAGCAGGAAACCATCCCAGTCAGGGAGACCTGTGACTCTGAGGCCTCTCGTCAAAAGTTCAGACATTTCCAGTATGTGGAAGTGTCTGGGCCTCATGAAGCCCTGAGGCAGCTCTGGGAGCTCTGTCTTCAGTGGCTCAGACCAGAGGTTCATACAAAGAAGCAGATCCTAGAACTGTTGGTGCTAGAACAATTCCTGATAATTCTCCCTGAAGAGGTCAGGACTTGGGTGAATTTACAACATCCAAAGAACAGCAAAGAAGTGGTGACTCTCATAGAAGATGTGATTGAAATGCTTAAAGATAAAGGTGAGAATATAGAAAGCTGGTTGTAGAATAGTTGACCATTATGTGGAATCTAAAAACAAAAACAAAAATACTGAGCTCAGATTCAGAGAATAGATTAGTGGTTCCCAACAGTGGGGAGTAAGGAGTAGGCAAAATGGGTGAAGGAGGTCAAAGGGTACAAACTTCTGGTTATAAAATAAATAAGTCATGAGGATGTAATGTACAGCATAGTGACATAGTTAACAATACTATATTGCATATTTGAAAATTATTAAAGTAGATCTTAAAAGTTCTCATCACGAGATAAAAACTTTGTAACTTGTATAGTGACAGATGGTAACTTACTATGGTGATCATTTCACAATGATACAAATATTGAACCATTATGTTGTATACCTGCAACTAATATAATGTTATATGTCAATTGTGCCTCAATGAAAAATAAAGAAAAACCTTTAAAAATAGTTTACCCTTCCCATATGAAGAGAAATTATCTCTTTTGAAGTTAGGGGGTGTCAAGGGCCAGATCATGAAGGACTTTACTATATCACCAAACATGGATTTTATTCTGTAGGCGATGAGATCTCACAGGATGGGTGGAGGAATATGACAATTTGGTGTGCGTTTGAAAAATATGTTGATATCAGTGTAGAATGGAAGTTGACAAACTGTGTCCCACAGGCAAAATATATTTGGAAATAAAGTATTATTGGAACACAGCCACACCTATTCACTTATATTTTATCTGTATTTGCTTTCATGCCATGGCCAGATGTTAGTTATAGCAGAGACTGTGTTGCCAGCAAACCTAAAATATTACTATCTGGATCTTTAGAGAAAAAGTGTACTAACTTCTTGTGTAAAGGATAGACCTGAGAGCTCTGAAAATAGGAAAAGCAATTAAAAGACTAGATTGGGTGTTAATTACAGAATGAAGGGAGCACTGGAAACACAGAAAAATTTGAACCTAACGGGTTTATTGTTTACCTGAGCAAAGTTTCAAGATACAAGACTAACATACAAAAGTCACTTACATTTTATACACTAGCAATGATGAATACTAAAATGAAATTGAGAAATCAATTTAATTTATAATAGCATAAAAAATGAAATACTTAACTACAAATTTTAATAATGAAGTGTAAGCCTTGTCCACTGAAAACTACAAAACATTGTTGACAGAATTTTAAAAGACCTAAATACATGAAAAGACATCCAGTGTTAATGGATTAGTATTGTCACAATGATAATGCCTGCCAAATCAATCTAGAGATTCAGGTGCAATTTATATCAAAATTCCAGCCACCTTTTTACAGGAATGGACAAGCTGATCCTAACATTTACATGGAATTACAAAAACAAAACAAAATAAAACCCAAATAGCCAAAACAAACTTGATGAAAAACAGACTTTGAGGATGCATACTTCCTAATATCAAAACTTACTATAAAACTAAAATAATCAAAGCCACATGGTATTGGAATTGGATAGACATAGATCAGTGGAATAGAACTGAAAGTTCAGAAATAAACTCATACTTCTTGGTTCTGTTGATTTTCAACAAGGGTACTAAGACTATCAACTGAGAAAAGTTTTTAACAAATTGTACTGGGACAACTTGATATCTACAGGCAAAAGATTGAAGTAGGACTTCATACCTTACGCAAAAATTAACTCAAAATGGATCAACAAACCCAAATATAAGAGCTAAAGCTATAAAATTCTTAGAAAGAAACATAGTAATTCTTCATCACTTTGACTTTAGTAATTGATATTTAGATATGGCACCAAAAATACAACAAAATAAAAATTAGACTTCATCAAAGTTAAAAACTTTTGTGCATCAAAGGAAACAATCAAGAAAGTGAAAAGGAAACCTACAGAATGAGAGAAAATATTTGAAACCTATATCTGATAAGGCCCAGTACTGGGAAAATGTTGGAAAAAGAACTCTTACAACTCAACAACAGAAAGATAAACACAAGTTTTTAAATGAGCAGAGGACTCAGATAGATGTTCCTCTGAAGAAGATATACAAATGGCCAACAAGCATAGGAGTAATTTTTCAGTGCCATTAGGGAATTGAATATCAAACCTGCAGTGAGATACTGCATGACATCCACTAGGATGGTTATACTAATAAAAGGAAAAGATTACAACAATGTGTTGGTGAAAATATGGAGCAATTTGAACCCTCATACATTGCTTTTGGAAATATAAAATGGTACAGCCACTGTGAAAAACAGTTTGGTAGTTCCTCAAAAAGTTTCCCATAGAATTACTGTATACTCACGAGAATAGAAAACATGTTTACACAAAAATTTGTACATGAATATTCAAGCAGCAGTATTCAAAATAGCCAGAAAGTGGAAGCAAGCCCAATGTCTATCAAATGATGAATGGGTAAAGAAATTATACTATATCCATACGATGGAATAATATTCAGCCATTAAAAGGAATGAAGAATTGATACATGGTCCAACATGGATGAACCTCCAAAACATGCTAATTTAAAGAAGTCAGACACAGAAGGTCACATACCATATGACTGAATTTATATGGAATGCCTAGAATAGGCAACTCCATAGAAACAGTATGGGAGGGAGGGGGAATGGGAGTGATTCCTTAATGAGTATGGAATTTGGGGAGAAATGAAAATTCTGAATTTAGATATGGTGATGGTTGCATAACACTGTGATCATACTAAAAGTCAATTGTATATTTTAAAAATGCTTAATATGGTGAATTTCATTTGTCAGTTTACCTCAATTTTTAAAAAAGGTAGATAGAAGAGATTATTGGATCAAATTAAGATCAGGTGTTGTAAAGGACAAGCATACAAGGAATCTGAAGACTCTGGGTGCTGAAAGTGATTTACCATGGAATGAAAGCATGGGAAAGAAAATAACTTCCAAAGAGGTAGTAGACTTGGAGAAAATTAAAGAATCAATGTACTGTGGTGGGACCTTGATAAAAGTTAGAGAATATACTAAGAGCAAGAACATGCAAGTCAAAAGGATAGGAAAACATAGTTAGGGATTGATGGATTCAAATTTGTTCTCATGGTAGAACAATTCTAAGTAATAAGGACCCAAGTATGAAAAAAGGAAATAGCTTGCTTGCTGATGGTTATGAGAAACAAAGGTGTCAAGGGTCTTCAGGTTGGGTTGTCTATGCCACTGTCAAAGTAACATCATAATATTGGCAGGGTTCAGGGTAGAAAACAACAGTGAGCTAAATAATCAGAGTTTTTATTGACCTAGCAGAATTACTTAATGTCTTTCATTCACAATAGACTGTAGGCTCTCTGAGGCCAGGCATTTGTGTGCCTCACACATAGGAGAACTCAGCAAATAAATGTTGAATGAATGAATGAGCAATTCTTGGTATATTACATCAATAAAACAGTAAGTGCATGAACTGCTGTTAAGAAAAAAAATTTTGTATAAGAGTAGAAAAATCTTTATGAGGAAGTGGGAATATGGAGGTATGAGTATATTAAAACTTCTAAGACCATAATACTGGAGGATGAAAAGAGGTGTTGATAGCCAAGATCTGCTTTACATTAGAAGGGGAAAAAAATTCTATAAAGAGCTTGAGAATGCATATGAATTTTTCTTTGAATAGAATGAGAGTTTCTGTGAATACACTTATAAAAGTTCAAGAAGGAGGTCAGCAGGGAAGGAGAATTAAAGGAAGGAAACAATAATTGAGAGCAATAAGGGAGTAGCTGATTGGAGGTTTTTGTACCTCTTCAAGGTATCTTGTGCATTACTAAGAATGACAGAAGTAAACAGTGTTGTGTTGACTATCCTAGGGCAGGGGTGTCAAACTCATTTTCACCAGGGGCCACATCAGCCTCACAGTTGCCTTTGAAGGGCCAAATGTAATTTTAGGGCTGTATAAATGTAACTACCCCTTAACTAGGGTCAAGGAGCTCGGCGCTGCCACTGGGTAGAAACAAGGTGCCAGGCTGGATAAAACAAGGTAGAGGGCTGGATTCAGCCCTTGGACCTTGTGTTTGCCACCTGTGTCCTAGAGACTGAGCTGACTGAAGTATCACAAAGCATTGTAGGCCTGAGTAGAGTTAACAGAGTTATCTTTGGGCAGCATTCAAATAGTATGTTACTGAGACATTTGGGGTTTTTTTCCCCCAGATTCTGCCTTTACTTACAAAAGGGTCTCAAAATATGTTGTGCATTTTCTTATTTCACCCTGAATCAATGAAAACAACTTCACAGACCAGTACTGGCTTATAGTCTGGCATTTGAGGATCATTGGTGTAACTAATGAATCATGGAAAAACTTGAGTACACTGGCCTTTGGGTATACTTCTCACCAACAGGCTGGAAAACAGAATTGGTAGCCACAGAGATTTTTATATACATGAAAGAGTCAGTAGTTCACAGTGACCAGACCACCTAAGTCTGTGATTAGTATACATAGATTAACCTAGAGGGAAAGAATCCCTGAGTAGAATTCTCCCCAATGTGTTTGAGGAAAGGATTGGTTGGATAAAATACAGGGTTGGACAAAAGCAGGCTGATAGTTTTTCATATGGAAAATAAGGCACTAATTAATAAAAATACAAAAATAAAGTCTGTTTGGTCTTCTCAGAACTGTAATCCTATTTTTGTCCCACCCTGTGTTCTTAGCTCCTGGTAGAATTACATTACAGCCTGTGGTGGCTACGCCTTAGGTAGGCTTTAGCTTTGATAGGATTAAAGTTATTTTTAGAACCACAGCTGAGACCTCAAAATATTATTTTGGCCCTCTTGACTCTGATCCAGTAGCTCTCATTCCTTGGTAGAATATCAGAATTACTTTTAGAACTTTTTAAAAATACAAGATCTGGGCCCCATCCTTGGAGATTCCAGTAGTTGGTACAACCTGGCATTATCATTGTTTCAAAGTTCTTTAAAGCTGATTCCTATGAATAGCATGATAAAATCACTGCTATAACCATTAAGTGTTTCTCCAGGGCAAAGCCTGCCTCCCTAATGTTTTCCTTTATCTTCTTCAGATATACCGTGTGAAGATTCTATCCTTCTCCAGAAGGGGAGCATGAAGAAGGAGAAAATGGAAGCTGACTCACTAACAGTCAAATCCCAGGTAAATTTGGATTCCACTCCTTACTGAAATGAGCTGCTTTTTCTTTTTCGGCCTTTGAGCTTTTGACAAAGACATTTCTATCTAAGGATATGAGATTGTCCTTCCATTGGACCATTTTAGTTAGTGATACATTTTTTTGGAAAATATAATCTTTGTATAATCTCTGTGCATCTATTTCTTCAAAACTGTAAACAATAATTGAATCTATGAAAGCAGAGCCTAGCCCTCACTGGTGTGGCTCAGTGGGTTGAGTGTTGGTCCGCAAATCAAAGGGTCGCCTGTTCAAATCTTGGTCAGGAGATATGCCTGGGTTGTGGGCCAGGTACCTGGTTGGGGGCCTGTGAGAGGCAGATTGATGTTTCTCTCCCTTTCTTTCTCCCTCCCTTCCCGTCTCTCTAAAAATAAATAAATAAAATCTTTTTTTTTTTTATTTTTAAGGTAAAAGGGAAAGAAAACAAAGCCTACCCAGAGAAGGTTTAGCATTAAAAGTGAAGGCAACCAAGATCAGAATTCTGAGCATTATTTAACCAACAAGAGAAGAAACATCAAAGGATATTGAAATGAAAAGACCAAAGTGGTAGAGGAAAACCGGGAAAATATAATGTCACTGAAAGTAAAGCATGAGAATATTTCAAGGAGAAAGCCTTTAAAGTTCAGAAAAATCCAGCCTGAGTAGTATCTGTTCACTTATCATCATGGACATACAAACATGCATGGGAAGAGAAGCCAGGTTGCAGAGGGTTGAGGGAAAAAGAGAAAGGGAAAAAAATAGGCAAAATGAATGTAGACAACTTATTCACAATATAGGCCCTGAAGTAGGGGAAGGGAAAGGAGTTGTATTATTTCAGTGTGATTGAAGACCCCAATGATGACAAAGTTGAGAATGCTGAAGAGGAGTGCAATAACTGATGGTCCGAAGGCCCTTATAACAAGTGTTTATGTGGTGCCCAAGGTGCCAGACACTTTTTCTAAGGTCTGGGAATGTGACAGTAAATGAAACAAAACCCCTGCCTTTGTGGAGATTATATTCTAGTAGAAGCAGACAGACAAACAGAAGCAAATAAGATAATTGTGGACAAAATTATTAAAAAGAAAAAATATATAATGCAGTAGAGACTGATTAGGAGAATGGCTCCTTTGGGTAATCAGGAAAGGCCTGTCTAACAAGGTGACATTGGGCTGTGAGACCTGAGTTAGCATGCTGCGTTTCTCAATTAGAGAAAATGCCCTACCTCTTATGCTAGCAAGCACAACCTACATCTTCATTAAATTTCCCTCAGATCGGCCTTAAACCATTTTTGCTCCAAACTCCTTTTATGTACATTGTTTATACTCTGTAACATAAATTACATATTCCACAGTTATTCCAACTGTCTTTCTCCTCCAGCAAAATGTAATTAAAAATTTAAAATTAATTAGATTAAAAAGAGTTCCAAGTTGATAGGCCCATAAAAAGTTGATTTTCATCACTTAGAACTTCAAACATTCTCCTCTCAATCTCTTATATATTCTGGCCACCTACTGTATTCTTTCCAAATTCATTTCTTGTCTAGTAATATTTTCAGAGTGACCTTTAATTAAAAAGGAACTTAATGTTTTAGGAACCAGTGACACTCAAAGATGTTGTTGTGGAATTCAGCACTGAAGAATGGGGGCAATTGGACCCTGCTGTAAGGAACCTCTACAGGGATGTGATGCTGGAAAACTATAGGAACTGCAATTCATTGCGGAAAGGTGGCTACCTAATCTGCCCATTAGTAAACTCTTCATCTGCTGTTAAAAACTATAGGACTGCTGAAGTGATTAAGGACATTTGGGTTTAGATTCAGGTTTCCTAGTATCCTTTGGGCACAATAGCAGACTTTCTTGCTGTAACTGGTTGGCAGTCTAGTTTGAAGTACACAGGTCTCTGGTGATTCTGGCCTTATCTTTCAATAGCTCTTAGATTCTGTTGGGATGGAATTCTTTTCCCTATAAAAATGTCTGAAGTGTCATGTATGTTTGTTGTTTTCATTTGCCCCATGAACAGAGCTTCAATTTTCCAAACCAATTGAGGTTCCCAAGTTGGAGATTAAGACAAAAAGATGGATGATGGAACAAGAGATCCCAAGAACAATGGTTTTTGGTAAGAAGCAGGCAGGTAAGAGGCATTAGTGAACAGCCTCTGTTTGTTAAACTACAATGTACAAGCCAGCCTTTGAGATGATCGTTGGGGAGGTGATGACAAAACCACCTAAACTTGGAAGGAAAAAAGTCTTCAATGGTTTTTATTCACAGGCTCTTTCTTTTGCAGACAGACAAAATAGTGTTATGGGTTATAAATACAGACATTTAACTTAAAGCTATGTGGCCTATCAGCCAGTGTCCTAATTTGTAACAGAGTGAATAATGGTATCTACCTCCACTTTACTGTGAGGATTCAATGTGATATGTATAGCATACTTAGAGCAGTGCCTGATACCTGGTAAGAACTGTAGAAACAAATGTTAGCCAACAGAACATTAAATTATATTCTTCCTTTTAAAGAAAACAGAAAACTCTGCTTTATCCTAGAGCAGCTTCAGCATTCTCCCATTTTTTCTCTTCTTAACTATAAAACTCCTTAACTTATGCCTTAAACTCCTCCCCTCATCAAAATCTCTATTCTTATTAACATTTTGTTTGCTAGAGATTATAAATTACTGTGGCTTAATATACATTTTAGTAAGTGTAGAAAATTGTGAATAGTAATATAACTCACCCCATTACCTCACTATTAACATTTGGTTTGTTTTCTTAAGCTGTTTTCTTTGTAATGATATATTTCTGTGGCTCTTAACAATTTGTTTTTTTCTAAAACTTAAGTTATCAGGAATATATCATTATATACATATATTCTGCTCTTCTCACCTAATATGATACCATGCACAATTGCCTACAGTATTTCACTGATAGTCTATGAAAATGTGGTTTCTGCCCTGGCTGGTGTAGCTCAGTGGATTGAGCGCGGGCTGGGAACCAAAGTGTCCCAGGTTCGATTCCCAGCCAGGGTACATGCCTGGGTTGCAGGCCATAACCCCCAGCAACTGCACATTGATGTTTCTCTCTCTCTCTCTATCTCCCTCCCTTCCCTCTCTAAAAATAAATAAATAAAATCTTAAAAAATTTAAAAAAAAATTTTTAAAAAGCAATTTCCCTTCTAATATATGGAATTTTTATTTGTTTTTTAGATAGACAGACAATTTCAGAAAATCAGGATTCGGTTTCAAAGCAGAAAATTTCTGGAGAAGAATCATCCCATAGAATGATAATGGCAAAACTGGCCCAAAGTGGGCTTCCTTCTTTAGATGCCTGGAAAAGGGATGTTTGCTTACATAGGAACCACGAACACCAGGACATATATTTGCCACAAGGAACTTCTGTTCATAAGACAATTTATACTGAGGAGGGAGACTTGGGATGTCGTGAAAGTAAGAAAAGCTTTGATGTTAAGTCAGGTAACTTAGTTTTTGATACTCAACAGGGAGTTCCAATGAGGAAGGGGTCCCCAAAGTGTGATAAGTTTAAAACTAACTTCAAATTTAATTTAGACTCAGTAGGTAAGCAACATTCAGAATATAATGAATATAGGAATGCCTCAAGCCTGAATACAGATATTCGACACTCAGAAAGTCATACTGTGATGAATCGCTATGAATGTTTTCAGTGTGGGAAAGCCTTCAGCCGGAGCTCATCCCTTGTTCGACATCAGATCATTCACACAGGAGAGAAACCCTATAAATGCAGTAAGTGTGAGAGATTCTTCAACCGACGAACAAACCTTAGTAAGCATCAAAAAATTCATCTTGAAGTAACGGCCTACAGAGGAAATAAATGGGGAACTGCCTTCAGTAAGAGTGAAAACAGTAATAAAAATCCAAGTCTCCAACCTAGAAATAATGCCTATCAATGTGTTAACTGTGGTAAATCCTTCAGCCGGAGCTCCTCACTTATTCGACATCAAATGATTCATACAGGGGAGAAACCATTTAAATGTAACAAATGTGAAAAATCCTTCAACAGGAATTCAAATCTTATTAAACACCAAAAACTTCATACTCGAGAGAAGTCCTATAACGAGTAAATGTGGTATTACCTTCGGTCACAGTGCAGAACTTAATCAACATCCATGAATTTATGCTGGAAAGAATCCTGTGAAAATGCTAAATGGAAAAAAAAAACCTATTTGTCAGATATTATGCTTTTGTTGAAAATTACAGAATTAATATTGGAGGGAAATCTCTCATTGGATAGAAATCTCAGGGAGATGTTCCAGGCTTCCAGATAAAGCCACAGACTTTGGAGTTAAACATATCACCATGCAAGTGTTTGTCAGTCATCATTCTGATATTCATTACCATCATCTAGTTCATAAAAAGGACCTCTTTACCTGATCTTTTTAGGAAGTCCATATTTGGGAGAGCCAAGCAATACATTGGAGTTGATATTTAATAAAACTCAAACTTTCAGTTCTTATAAGAGGATTACAAGAAACCATGAGCTCACGAGAATATAGGAGGACATTTCTAAGGACTAAATCCTCTGAATTAATGGCAAAGACTACAGTGACAGTCAATTATTCTACCCTTATTAATATTCGAGGCTGCCCTGGTGCTCAGTGGGGACTACAATTGGAAAAGGGTTATCATCTGCAATGGGAGGTGGATGTGTTGTTAATCTACATGTATTCGTTAAGATCCAAATTTTTTAAAAGTACTCTTTGGAACTAGGCTGGAGAGATATCCATAGTCCTAGGTCTGTCATTTATCCTAAACATTAAAAGGACAATAAAGTATCCTAATTCTCTGTGCACCAGTACTTTGTTCCGTAAACTGCTTCAGGATCCCAAAGAGTTCTTGAGCTGAGAAGTTTATTTTAATCTGCCCAAAAGTATTCATACTGGAGACATTCCCAGTGAATGATGATGGTGACTTTTTATGAGCTTATACCTTGTTCAAAAACAGAAAAGCATACTGAAGTGGACTCCTGTGATGAGTTAAGTGTGGAAAATTATCCTGTGTTCATTTGTTCAACCTTTACATCACAACATGAGTTGTATTAAGACAAAACTATATGCAAGTGATTAATATGGAAATTCATATAAATACAATGCAATTTGTTAAAGGATCCTAACAAGAGAAAACCACTGAATGTAAGAAATTCTTTGAGATATATAGTTCATTCATCAAAGCAATTACATGTTGAGTATAATGGATTCTGACATTCTCATTGTAGGTGTTCTGAATCTTTTTTTCTTATATGCTGTGGTTTTCTTTTGGGTGGTTGAAACATAAAAGTACTATTTTTATCTTTTCTCTCAACAGTCTTTGGGTCTAAGGAAAATGCTTACATTTTTTTCTCCTAAATCTCCCAGCTTTGTAAAAAATAAGAGATCTGTTTATTATTATTTACTAGGTTAAACATACATCACTTCAAAGAATGCCTCCTTAGAGTGCATTTAAAATTTTAAATTTTGCACATTTACAGCCAATTAACACCTCCCAATCTTTTCCCATAAGCCTATTTATTTAATATATATTTTAATTTTACTGTATGCATTCAAGACAGATACCTGAGTTGAAACATAAAACAGTAGAAATTAACTAGATTGTATGTGGTGGAGGGTGGAAATTTTAGGAGAGATGATAAAGGAAAAATAGGAGTACAAAATTACCAAGGGATTAGGGCATGGCATCAGAAAACAGAGAAGGTCACCACATGCTGGAATATGGCACTGGAAAATAATGGGACAGGAATATATAGGGGTGAAGAAGACTCAAAGACCAGATCATGAAAGGCCTTGTAAGCCATCTTAGAAGTTTGGACTTGATCCGAAAGATAATGACAAAGAAAAAAATTCTTATCTACACAGTTATTTAGCCCTCTTAAAGTGCTAATTGAAATAACAGGTGAAAATAAATGGAAATTGCAAAAGTTAAGCATTTTCTGATGATGTGGTAGACCAATCAGGATAACCTAAAAAAATCAATTAAAAACTTACATATAATAAGTAAATTCAGTTATATATACCCCACTAGCCTCAAAAAATATTTTTAATAAATGGAAAGATATTTCTGGATGAGAAGACTTGAGATGTTGAATCTTCTCACATTAAACTATAAAAAATCATTGAGAAGACTTTCACAAATAATTATAAAGTTTATTTTGTAGGTACTACTTTGGTGAGGAGAACTAAGAGATATTTCTATAGAAAACAATTTGGTAGCTAGAGAAAAGCATCTGAGAAAGATATTTTGATTTTTTTATGAAAATGCTTCTTATAAAACATCTACTAAAAGAGTCTTAAGATATATAACAAATAAAACTTCTGTATTTTAATCCTGGATTTGCCAGTAATTTGTCCTTTAACTAACTATTTAACTTGGGACTCTAATATCTCATCTGAGAATAAGGGATACCTGGCCTACATTTTGATTATTATACAGCTCAAATGAGGTAATATAGTACTTATTTCTTAAGTACAGGAATTGCAAATTAAATGCAAATGTATGGTTTAATATTATTACAGCTTAATGATTTAACAGAGTGTTTGGCTCATAGTAAATGTTAAAAAATCATAGCCATCAATTATTATAATGTACCAAAGGAGAAGGCTGACTCAGCAACTAACAATCCAAATGTATCAAATGCAGTAAATTCTAGTTTTAGGGATGAAGAATTCCCCAACTGCATGCTCAGGTTTTCTGAGAATCAAACATGATTTCATGAAAGAAATTTCAGCACCAGAATTCATCATAAATACAGTGAACACTTTTAAACAGGGATAGATCCTACCCTGCCTACCATCATTTAGGTTAATATATTTTCAATTGTGAAATTGTTTTACATTTTTTCCAAGAGTCTTGCCTTTACCTTTCCTATTCTTGAACTAGAAAAGAAAGGTAACGATTCTTGGAAACCTATTCAAAAATAAATATAAACTATGGGAAAATCCATTGAAAAAATCCTGTGGTAATAAATAAAAAATCTGAATGTTTGTGTTTATGCACATGAATGTACTCTTACCGAGTATAGCAGATACCAGACCAAAGCAATCATAAACAACACAACCTAGCAAAAACTAACACTTGGGGTTTGCTCACCAGCTGCCTGACCATCTCAAGGTGAGTACTGATTGTCATGTACTACAGGAGACAACAGGAGAGCCATGGGGGGGATTTTGCCCACTAAGAGGTAAAACCAAAGATCTGCTTTGATACTGATATGTGCAGATCATAGAAGCAACCAAGTCATAGGAAAAGAAAAGGAGAGTGGTTGAGGGAAGAAAGGGAAGAGGCTATCAGAAATTTAAGCTTCCAAGAATAAGAATTTTCTTTGCATCTTGATGGATGGACAGTGGTAACATCTCACTGGTTTGACTTCTGAATGAAAATATGTGTGTGTGTATGTATATATATATACACATACACATATTTGGAATCTATGAAAATCTAAATGTTATGCATCAGCTACTATTTACTTGGCTGTTTGATTCCAAGATAATTTGTGTTCACTATTGACTAGATAATACATACATGGAGAGAGAACACTAACATGAGGACTACCCAATATACGTAACTTGCCTGATGCTGTTTTAAAATTGTCAGCTTCATTTTGAATATAGTAATTATTAAAATAGAGTGCTACAATTTAAAGAGGAAGGGAATTTTTCGGTCAGTTTTCCCTTCCCATGAATCTGTTTTCATATAAAAGCAACTGAAAATATTTCTGAATGGGATATATGTAAAAATTTAAATGGACCCTTTGCTCCTAAACCCCCAAATTCTAAAAAAAAAAAAAAAAAAGTCTCACTGTATTTGGAATCATTTGAAGATGTGTGAAATCATGGCAAAGCTGTCTTCAACAACATCCATCCTTAAACATTTACAGTATGTCAACACAGGACTGGAATCTAGAGACACTGCAGGAATTAATATCTCAACATCACACAAAGTGGCAGGTACTAGACAAATGATGTGTAGGCTCAGGATTCCAGAGACCAGATTTGCCAAAGTTTGAGTCTCCAGCGTGGGGGCAAGATATCTGAGATGACTGAAACTGCATTTCAGGATGGAGAAAAACGACTATTAACCTAAGCCCTGGCTATGAGGAGCTCCCTGTCCTTCACTCCTTTCCCATGCACCCTCCTAGGGAAGGGCAGACCACTAGGACGGCGAAAGAAGAAAGGAGTCTAGGGGCAGTCCCTTCCCTCATCTTAAGAAATCGTCGATCTTCGGGATGTGCATCTACAAATGCATAGCTCTGGCTTATTAATAAAAAAAAAAAAATCATGTCTAACCCCTCTGCTCGCCCACAGCAGCCCAGTCAATTTGTGATGGCAGGGCAGGCAGAAAGTTTAAAAAATCTTCCATTGCGCAAATAGTCGAGTCCATCCTTAGTGAACTCCTACACCAGGTTCCCACAGATGCTCAACCTGGCCCACCAGCACCTCCCCCGTGGGGAGGGGCAGGCCTGGGGACCGAAAATGTAGTCACGCAGGCGGAGTCTGTGTGGTAGATTTGGGCACTGACCGTCCTCCTGAGCAAGCAGAGTGGGGTTCCGCTTGCAGGGTAGCTTCTTGGATTTTGACTTCCGGTGTGCTCTGCAGAACTGAAATACACAACTTTCTCCCAGGGAAACGGGGTAACCTTTATGTCTTTTGGGCTTCTCTTCAATTGATACTAGAAGTGTGCGATAACCTGTAGTCCTCAGCACCATGAAAAACACTTGCCACTTGGTGCCTGAAGATGTGGTGAGGTTCCCTGCTGGACCTCTCAGCTTGGTGTCTTGGGGCTAATTGTGAACCTTTCAAGCCAGACTTTCTCTGGATGTAGAGTAAGTTTAGTAGGACCTTTCTTGAAACAAGGGTGAAATTAGAATGACATCAAACTTTTGAGAAGACTTCCTAGAGTAGGTGTGTTGTGAAAATTAATATTTTATTATATGGTAGACACTTTTTTAGAGATAAAAGATAAAGGGACCTGAGGAATCCCATTTTTTCAACCCCTTTAATTTACATCTAAGAATACTTAATTTGAGCTCAGAGGGGTCAAATGATTATCCTAACTTAATACCATCAATAGACGATAAAAGGCCAATTCTAATTAATTTGTTGAGTAATTTTAATGTTTGGTGAAAGACACCTGCATGCATGACTCATGGCAGTCTGTATGTATTCTGAATTCTAGGGCCTGAGAAGATGAACAAAAATACACCCTTACATTACCTTTTAGACAGATTGTATAATTTTCAGCCTCTGCAGAGTCTTGTGTACAATAATCACTATATATTAAGATTTAATCAATTAATTTGGCAGGCATATCTGACAGGATCTGCCTGACTACTACTTGGCCTACCAGGCCTGCTGATGACAGTCTGCATCACTCCCAGTTTTTATTGATCCAATGGTTATCAGTTTGTTGGTATTAGGTAGAGATATACTCTGTCTTCATAAAAACTGATCTGAGCTCAGGTAGCCTCGCTTTTAACCACTAGGCCATACTTATTCTTAAGACTGCATATTTTACTCACTCTGCTTTGAAACACATTTACCCATCTTCACACATACACCCATGCACACACACACACTTATCTCAGTTTATCCTGGACTAAAATTAGAACTACTCTGCAGAGTCTCCCCTGACTTCTCTCAAAGGTTGGGCTTGACCTGTCCCAGGTCAGCCCACAATCTCAGCTTTATATTATCCAGGTGAAAAAGCTCTTCACGAGTAGCTCAACCCCAACATGAAATCATGAACCTGGACAGATTGACTTCACTGTCTGTATTCTACTATACAAGTTTTCCTCTTGTCAACCACAAGCAATTTCTCTTCTGTATAAAGTATTCTGGCCTTCTATCTATCGACTAAAATACTATTAAAAATCTAGTTTTAAAATTACCTTCTGATATATTCAGCATAC